AAGAACCCCCAGGGCAGACTCAGTGGGTCTTTCCCAGCTCTGGCTGCACAGCCGGGTCAGGGCCCCGTGAGCGGGGCGTCCGTGGTGGCCCATGCCACAGCATCGGGGACCCGGCCTGGACCCGCTGGGGCAGCAACTCGAGCGGACTTGGCCCTGAGTGTCACCTTGGCTTCCCTGCCGCCCGCAGGAAAGAGAGGACGGGCGCCACAGCGCCGCGGCGGCCCGGCCAGGCGGAGTGGTCCACGGAGGACTCTCCCGGCCATGCCAGCCCTGCGGTCAGCCTTCCTCTCTGTTCTGCCTTTATTTGCAAATTCTTCTCGGAGGCGCTTGACCAGCACTTCCCAGAAACTGGTCCCCAGGCCAGCAGGAGCCCATAATGAAGTTCTCCTCGGTCCGTGGTCAACATGAGATAAGTCGTGCCGGGGCAGTTTCTCGGCCAGGCCACAGGGAGTTCACGGAAATGCTGTCCTTTTTCTGAGAAGCTTCTTCCCACTTTCCCTACGAGGAAGGACGAGGGGTGACAGGGCCTCTCACCCACGAGGGCCACCCCTGACAGCGTCCCCGCACATCCAGATGCTCAGACTGTCCCCTGCCTTGTCCAGGCTGTTCTGACAGCCACAAAGAGCAGTGTGGCACGAGGGCCCTGCCCGGCCTTCCTCCCAGGACCACGGCTCCGTCAGGGCCTCCTGGTGTCTGGACCAGGGGATGTGGTGCTTGGAGCCACATGCCCCTGGGGAACCCCGTCCATCACCCCAAACAGCAGAGGTGAGCACAGGAGAACGCAGTGCTGTCCACAATCAGCAGACCCCAACCGCACCTGTAAGGCTCCTGACACGGGGATGGCTGCCTCACGCACATAAATCTGACTGAGCCACGTTTCCACCGTGACATGACGTGGATGCTCATCCATGAAGTAGTACAACCTTATCTTCCAACCCGGGTGTGGAAGGCCTGGGGGGGTCCCCTGAGACCAAAGCACCCCCCAGGCATCCAGACTGCTCAATTCATAACATTTCCCTTGAGCAGGTGTTACGGACTGAAGGCTTTATCTCCAGGTTCATACACGAACCCTCCCCCCACCCCGGGTCGTGACACCTGGAGGCTGGGCCTCTGGGCATTGAGGCCACAGGAGGTCACAGGTGGAGCCCAGGAGGAGGGAGCTTGTCTCCACAGCTCCCCCTCTGCCCGCGAGGACACCCAGAAGGGGCGCCCTGGCCCCCAGACCGAGAGAAACAAATGTCTGCTGTTGACGAGCCGCCCAGCTTGCCGTCCTCAGTGGCGGCTGCCCTGGCGGGCGAAGGCATCACAACCCCTCCAGGATCTGTCAGTTCTGCAGGGAGAGCCGATTCTCTAGATGTCATCCGTGGATGCAGGTTTAGACAAGTCACTCTGAAAGCTTCCCCACGCTTTTCATTCATTCATTCATTCAACAGGTAAGTACTGAGCGCCTGCCCTGGGCTGGGCAGCAGCCCAGACACTCAAATGCCCAGGCTTTATGGAACCTACAGTGGCCAGAGGGTGTGGACAGGCAATAAACAAACACACAAGGAGAGGGAGGCTTTGCAGACCAGTGGCATGGCCCCTGAGCAGGAGGGGAAGGAGCCTTCATGCAGAGGGGCTGCAAATGCAAAGGCCCTGAGACAGGACCGTGCTTGGCACACTGCCACATGGCCATGAGGCTGGCGCCACCGGGGCAGAAGAGACACGGGGGCAGCAAGGTGGGGGTAGAGTCAGAGGGGTAGATGGAGAAGGCCGTGCAAGGGCCCTGAGGCCAGTGTGGACATTCAGCAGTTACTGCTAGGGAGACAGGAGATCTCCTGGGGCTTTGAGCAGAGAAGCCCCGGGGGCAGCAGGGAAAGCCAGAGAAGGCTGCGGCTGTAGCCCTGGTGGACCAGGCTGGGGGGAGCATTGGGCCCAGCCGGGCACGGCGAGGAGTGGCCGGAGGGCTCCGTGCTCTGGAGGTGGAGCCAAGCGGTTCACGGGGGCTGAGCTGGGTGTGGGGTGCGGGAGGCAGGAGCGGCTGGGGACGGGTGAGGGACAGCAGACTGTGGGGCATGGGGGTTGGGCTGGGACGTTCTGAGCATGCTGTGCCCAGTGCACATACATGTCACTCCGGCTCGCTCCCCTCCTTGCTGTGGGCACGTGGGCACCAGGGCGGCCTGAGGATGCTCCTCCTTGGTATGCGCTGGATCCCACGGAGGACACCACCCGAAAGAGGCCGGCCCAGTCTGGGAGGGTCCTGTCTGAGCTGTCCCTTCAAAGCCAGACCCCTATCTGCAGTGCTGTCCCTGGCAAATTCAGCCTGTGCTTGGAAAGGATGGAGGCCGTGGCCCCAGGTCCGCGGGGAAGGTGTGGCCTAGGGCCCCGTGTCCTCCCAGCCCTGGTGGTGCCCAGCTGGAGGACGTGAGGCATGGAGGTGGGGCTGGAGGAGGGAAAGGGTGCTGGCCCTCGGCAGGCGGGCCTGACTCACACCCACACGTGTACTCCTGGGCCTTGGGCGTCCTCAGGCGGGTGGCTCGGTGTCAGCAGCGTCTACATGGGTGCAGGGAGCTCCTCTTCCCGAGGCCTCCTGATGGGGCCCAAGGATGGGCGTGCCCCAGTGGCCAGGATTCCTGACCCCAGAGCCGTTTCGGAGGGGCCGTCACTCTGACGTCTCCACGTGGGGAGCTCAGCTCACCCTGTGAGCCCCGAGGCAAAGGGGGGACTCACCTCATGGTGATGCCCAGGGCCCCCTGCACGGGCGGGACAAGGCCAGTCGGGCCGGGTTTGTGCGAGCCCATGTCGTGAGCTCCAGCCCCTGTGGCCTCCTCAGCCCCGGCCACCTCCCTGGGTGCCAGCTCCCTGCCCAATGTGGGCAAGGCGCAGCGATGGGCACAAGCTCTCTGATGCCGGGCTTGCTGGCCGGTCACCTTTCCTTGTCTTTACGGTCCATCTTCTGGCTGGAAAAGGCCACGACGGCACCCATCTCGAGGGACCCAGCATCGCACATCTGAACAGGCCCCAACCCAGGACCCCTCGTGCCGGCCCAGGGGCTCCAGCGTGGCGGTACACAGGGGCGCCTCCAGTAGGAGGGACCCAGCTGCTCTGTGGACCAGGAAGCAGGCTTGGCAGTGGAATGGGTGGTGCTCGGCAATGGGGGGAGGGGTGCAGACAGTGACCCTTGCTCACAAGTCCTTAAGAATTTCAGGGCGGCGAGAGCTGAGCGCGAACAAGCGTGGGGCCCAGGAAGTTGTGGGGAGGGTGTGAGTGCAGAGGGCCAAGGACCCTGGGGAACACCAAGGGTGTCTGTCCCCATGTGCATGCATGTGTGCATGTGTTTGTGACTGCATTCATGCACGCGTGTGCCCTGAACATGTGTGTGAACACACGCGTGCACGTGTGCCTCGGACATGCGTGTATATGAATGCACGTGTGCATGGACATGGTGTGTGCACGTTTGTGCTTGTTTAGATAAGTGTGTGCATACACACATGTGTACACACATGTTTAGGGGGCATGGATGGAGGAGGACACTTGATGGCCTCTGAACTCCCCCGGACCTTCAGGCGGACATAGCGAGAGCTATGCACACGGGCTTTCGGGACGAAGAGCCCACCCTGCCGTTTGTTGAACACACGCGGGGCACTGGCCATCGGGTGGGCCTGGGGCGCCAGGAACGGACTCGGAGGCCCAGGGCCAGGGGCCGTCCAGGCAGAAGCACAGGGAGGAGGCCGCAGGAGCCACTGTTTCCAGAGACTGGGATGTAGCCACTCCCCCGCCTCCGGCCGCCAGCCGGGCCTGACAGAGAAACGGCCTCCTGTCAGGGGCTCCAGGGGCACCTGTGTGGACAGGACCCCACCACAGCCTGTCCCAGAGGGCCTCTGCCAGCTGAGCTGTGGCCACCGGCCCAGGGTGTGTCCTGCCCTGCTGCTCCCCACAGCCCCCCGGAGGGAAGTCAGAACTGGCCTCAGGGACCTTCAGCCTGGAATCACAGAGAGGCTGCGTGCCCCAAGGAGTCTTAGGGGGACTTGGGCCCACCCCGGGAGAGGGGCCTCAGGAAAAGCACAGAACACCCCTCCCTCCACGCCTCCTCTGGGTGAGGCTCTCTGGGAGCAGGGGCTCGGGGCTGCCTCTGCCCACCCCGGTGTCCCCCCTCTGGCTGCACATCCTGGTCCCCTCCACGTCAGCTCTGTCACCGGAACAAAGGGCCCGGCATGGCGCACAGGAGAAGGTCTTTCTCCAGCCCTGGGGCCCCCAGCACACACTCACCCACCCCTGTAGGCACACATGCTCTGCGGGCTACAGACTGGTTCCTGGCCTGAGGTTCAGGCCCCCCTCCCCTCCTGCTGAGGCTTGCGTTTCAGGGCAGCCCTGCTGGACTCCCCGGTGGCCCTGGGGACACGGTGGGGCTGTCCACACCCAAACTGTAAAGCAGCCCCCTCCAGTGGGCAGAGACGCTGCAAGAACCAACACTGTTCAATTAAAGAAGAAACGTTAAATTTCTGTAAATCAGGAAAAGCTTAAACAAACCTAAGAGGAATTGGAGAGAACATCCTTCATATGCAAAAAGCTCTTACCCGTCAACAAGAACAACACCTCAATAGAAGCAGAAATGTAACTGCAGACACTCAGCACCGATGTCAGCCTTGACCAGAGCCGAAGAAACAAACACGGAAACAAACCAGGATTTCCGTTCTTAGTCCATCCTGGTCTTGGAATGGGATGGCCTGGCCTATGTGCTGCTGCTGGACTGCGAACTGGCAAGAACAAGGCTCATCACTGGCTCGGCCCCACTCGGCCCCCTCACTGCTGTCTCGTCGGCTCTTAGGACACCTGGCCCCCTGTGTGCTGGCTGGCGGCAGCATCCGGAGCCAGGTGGCAAGGACGTTCTGGGCAGAGGGCCACACTGACTGGCCCAGCCTGACTTTCCTGCATCGGTGTGCGGGGGTCCCCGGAGCCACCCAGCTTAGGAAGGAGGAGGCTGCGGGCCACGTCCCTGGCCCGAGGCGGTGGAGCTGCGGATGCTCCGGCCGAGCGGTGTGAGCTCCCGCACCACAAAGGGCTCGGCTCTGGAAACGCTGCTCGCAGATCCCGTGGGCGCCCACCGGCTCCGGAACCAACACTTCCTCAGCACGAAGGTGCTGGGGCCTCCGGCGTGGGAGCACGGCGGCCGGGCACGGAGGCTCGAACAGGGTCGGCAGCACTGCACAACAGAGACCCAGCTCCAGCCCAGTATGGCAAGACACAGAAGAGATCGTCATCTTACCAAGAGGACCCCACCCAGAGGCCCAGGCCCAGGCCCAGGAACGGCTCCCCTGTCTGGTTGAGAGCCGAGTCCACCTGGGTCCCCTAAAGCCCTGTGTGCCGCTTCCCGCGGGCCAGGGGGCCCCGTGTGGGGCACACCCCCTGGCTCCTTAGTTAGGGAGTGTGCATGTACCTCCACCATGAGCAGCACAGGTGTAGGCCTGTGGGTCCCAGGCGGAAGCTGAGAGGCCCGTGGAGCAGGCCAGCACACGAGAGCGCCGACGGCACATCATTGCTACTTTAGCCCCCGTGGGCGGCGTGCGTCGCCCCGGGGGCCCGACTGACACAGCGCCTTTGAACCCAGGTAGGCCCACGCCCTGTTCTCGCCACCCCGCCTACTTCATTTTCTTCACAAATCCTGCATAGGGTTCATCTATGCATTTACAGTCTGACGCTCCGCTTGGCGGGTGGCGGCCTGGTCTCGCTCCTTCACGGACGGGTGCTCTGTGTTATGCTTGCAACAGCGGCCGGCGCAAAGTGGACACTCAGTCAACGCTAGTGGGCAGCTGTACACACGAATCTTCCTGGACACGGACACCCCCCCCCAACCACCGCCCCGGGGACGTGGCTCCTTCCCCGCTAGCGAGCCCGGGAGGTGCTCTGGTTCTGGGCCTGGTGAGTGATGCAGTGGTGAATATGCAGGGCTCATGGCGTCCCCCGGACAGAACCACTGGGCCCCAGTCCAGCCTCACCGTCGCTCTGACGAGCACCCCGCACAGCTCCCCAGGGCACAGAGGTGCGGGGAGGGTTTGGAGCAGCTAATTCAGAGACAGAAGGGAGACCGGCAGGCACAGTGGACCCCAAAAGACAGAAGGGCGCTCGGGTTGCACAAGGAGGGCGATGGGCTCAGAGGCTGCATCTCCAAAACGGGCATCTGTGACAGTGCGGTCCAAGAGACCGTGCTGGGGGCCTGCCGTCCCTCGGGGCAGCCTGGCTGTCTGTATGGCCTTGGGCCCAGCAGCTGGAGTAAGCGGAGACTCCAAGACACAGCCCTCCGGCAGTGGGGCGGAGCCGGGGCAGGCCCAAGCTCACACTCAATGTGTCCTTGGGCCCCAGGGTCACAGACACCCAGGCAGGGGCTCTCATGCTCGGGGCCACCCAGGACCCCAGTAGCCTCGTGGTCTGAGCTCCTCAGCAGCAGGGTCATGAGAAGGCCGGGGCTGGGGGCACAGGGAGATCTGTGACCCACGCGGCCGATGCATCTGGGAATAATTCACTGAAATCTGGAGCCAATGTCCCCTGGTGAGAGTCAGCGGTCACGTGTGAGCGTGCTTGCTGTTTACATTTTATGTCTTTCAGAGACAAACTCAAGAGCAGAATTTGACACCAGTGACCCAGTGTGCAAAGTTTTCCTCTGCCGCTGGTCACAAACTTTTCTGAGTATCCCACATTCATTTTTGCGGGATCTCCTAGCAGCTATACCAGCAACACAGACAGGCCCGCCGGCTCCAGGCCGAGGGAAAGCCTGTCCCCATGGTGACGGAGCTCAATTCCAAAGGATTCTTCCTGTAAACACAGTGAGCACCCAAGCTGACACTGGACAGACAAGTTGCATGGGCACACAGCGTCGATGGGCCGTGCCATCTCCCTGCATCTGGACAGGCCTAGCAACACTGTCCCCCTCGACGGCATGTCCACTCAGGGTCTTGGCACCCAGTTGCTGGACCACAGATCCCCTGATAGACACACAGACTTGAGCTCAGTCCCAAGGGACTCTGAGACCTGACCCCTTCCTCCCAGATCCCAGCTCTGGTGGCAAGCACTCCGCAGCCCAGCCTTGGCTCCAGGCAGGCCCTGTTCCTCTGAATCCTGGAGCGTCACTGCAGCCTTTCCCCACGCGGAAAACCTCGGGCTGCTGGCTGTAGGCCTGAGTCGCAGGTGTGCTCCGCCTGGGCCTGGTTCCCACGGTGGGAAAATGCGGTGTCTGCAGTGGGGAAGCCAAGAGAGGGTGGGAGGAGCAGTACTGAGTGCTCTATGGCCGGTGACACACTGTTCTTCTGATGCTTGCAGGATGACCACTCTGGCGGCACCGAGCACTGTGGACCCACGGCTAAGGGTCCCAAGCCTCAGCTGGGACAGTGTGTGTGGCCCCAAAGTGCCCAGCCAGGGTGAGGTGGGGGGAGCGCTGTGGGGGGCAGCCAGGGGCACCTTGCTGCAATCCACCCGCCCGGAAGGGCATTTCCTGCCGGCCCCCTCGCTGGGCACAGGTGTGGGAAGGACCCTGTGCAGGGTCTCCCTGGACACCCAGGAGGGGGAGCTGCTCCGTGGGCATCACCAACCTCAGCACCAGGTCACAGCTCACCCAAGCTGGACGAGGGACCTTGGGTGACAGTGCCCACCTCGACCAAAGTAACTCCCGGAAACTGTACAACTTGACCTTGCATGGTTCCTGCTGAGGACCGCAGCACACAGCGACTACTAATGGGGCAGGTGGGCCCAGGGCAAGGAGGGGCTGACCCTCTGCTCCTCCCTGCCAGAGCAGCCCCCAAGAAACAGCGAGCAGACACTTCTCCCCGGGGAGGTCGGAGGTTGGAGCAGGGCCCGGGGACTCCCCTCGGAGACCTGGGGGCGCACGGACCTTCCTGGCCACCAAGCTGGGTCACCGCTGAGGATACTGGAAGCCCAGCGCACCTCTCCGTTTAGGAAGTTGTGCGAGAGCAGGACGGATGCCTGACGCGCCCCTCGCCCTGCCCTCCCGCGCCACGCCCCCCGCATGCGACGCCCCGACGCCACGCCCACCCCCGCGCCTCGCCC